CGATGGCCCGGACACCTCTGACACCGAGATCTAGTGGGCAGTTGCGTTTGTCATTCCTGCGGTGGGAGTGCGGGCTGGCTAGCCCTGCAGCTCCGCCCGTGACTGTTGCCTGTGGCTGTCATCGTGCACGTGGCTGGAAGAAGCCTTCCTCCACTGCCTCGGCGGACTGTTAAGGCTTTAGGGAGGCTCTCCCCTACCTCAGTGAGGCGCCCCAAGCCTGCCACTGTCTTGACAGGCATGAGGCAGGTGGATGAGACATTAAGCACCAATCCTGGACCTGGCTTAGGAAACCCAATGCACGCTGGTTTTGGTTTTGCCCATCCCACCCCCTACCCTCTGGCCAGCCCCATTAGCAAACTCTGGAAGAGGGCTGCTTTTATTTTTATTTTTATTTACACAGAGTACTGGCCAGAAGTCACCGTGTCCAAGAAGTTTCCCGACTAACGACTCAACACTTAAATAAGGTTTAGGGTACTAAAGGATATCCATTCTAAATACATAGAGGTGCCTGTTTAGGGTTAGTAATGATGAACACACCCCAGGTGCTCACTACTAGAGGGGAAGGTGAGGGACTCAGGTGGTGTATGGGAAGAGGAAACGGGACTATGTAGGAATAAATTATCCATTAGTCTCCCTTCAATTGAGAGTGCACTCCCAACATTCTCTTCATGATGGAAAGGGGGTGGCTACTTCTGCTCGCACACCATAGGTGTGCCCCAGCAGTGGGGACTCATGAGACCACACTTAGATCATCATTATTATTATCATTATCCCAAGGGGGCATGATCCCAGGCTGGTAGCAGTGGGGGATAGACTGGTGAAAGCAAGGCTAGCTTGACAAAGTTCCTTGTGCCGACGGAAAATAGAACAGAACAAGTTGTGAATTGGGGCTTCAAGAGGAGAAACCTTTTGGGGATCCAAATGGAGGACAGAAATGGTATAGGAAACCGCTGAATGGCCCTTTCCGTCTTGCCACGGGGACTTAGTGAAAACAGGGCCAAGAAATATGGCTATGCAATTATCACTGGACAAGACTAGCTTGGCTGAATTCACAGGGGTGGAGGTGGGTATAAAATCCAGCCCAGCTTCTAACTGTAGGGACAAAGGTGCATCCCTCAGTAACACAGACATAGTATCTTCCTGTCCCATTACATTCCAACCTAACCAGGCACCGTTTTTCTTACATGTTCAAATGGGACTATGAACTATCATTGAAAGCTGCCCTCCGCCCCCAGTGTCCTATTATGTAATCCAGACTAGTTTAATGATCCTTCCGGCTTTAACCTCCAGAGTGCTAGGATTGCAGGCATGTAGCACCACACTTGGTTAGCTTTTCTTCACATCAAGGTAGGGACTATGTAGTCCCACTGCTGGAACTCCCTATTATCTGGCTGGTGAACTTTTAAAATTATGTTTTTCTTTATATGTATAGTGTTTTGCTTGCCTGGAAGTCTGTACACATGCTTGTCGTGGATCTTCTGGGGCTGGGGTCAGGAGCTGTGTGCTGGGAATTGAACCCTTGTCCTCTGGAAGAGCAGCAAATGCTTTTAACCACTGAACCATTTCTCTAGCCCCCAAATTTTATATATATCCCCCGGCCCCAGCCCAGATTTTGATTATTGCCCTGCCTGTCTCAGTACCATTGTTACAGGACCATATGGCCATGGACTTCTAACACTCACTGTATCCTATTGAGCTGGATTTGTGTCTCTATCCCATCATCAGGGGGTCTTGGAGGATCCCATAAGCACTGCTGACTATTCTGACATGGTGTTAAGGTTACCTGAACTCTGAAGCTGTGCCACTGGAGGCACTTTTAGGTTTAATATGTCAACCCAAATAAACAGAATTACTCTTAAGATACAAGTTCTGATGGGGACAAGGTTGTTTATGGACACCTAAAGGGGGAAGCTGCCTAAGGGGGGCAACAGTAGGATCAGATGTTTCAACTTTTATGCTATGTGAATCTAGCTGTTATACTCTGACCAGAACAGCTCTTAAAATCGTTAGCACAGCAAGAGGTAAGATTTCCAGTGCTGATTCAGTAGTGGAGTGACTTTAGGGCAGGCATTTACCCTCCCTCCCCAAGTACACAAGTGATTTCACAACTCTTGGCAAAAACAGTGCTGTAAAAATAGTTTATTGGTTAAAAAAAGTACCTTCCATGATTTTCAAACAATTTGCATAATTCATTTTTATTTATACAGAAACACCAGAAATGAGTATGTATGGCTTTTTCTACATTTAGCACCATGACATAGCCTGTACACCGATACTATTTTTTTTTTTTTTGAGATAAGGTGTTGCTATATAATTTAGGCTGCTCTTGAATGTACAGTGCTCCTCCTGTCTCAGTCTCTTGAACTGTTCACCACCATTCCCAGCCTCTTGTTCTGTTGGCTCTGGGAAGAGACGAGCCTTTTACTAGGAGGGTTTTCACTTCTAGCATCACTCCAACTCCTATAGAAATTTGGGCTGGATGCCTAGGGCTGCGAGGGATAGGCTAGGAATCCAAAGGAGTTAGTTTAGGTTTCAAATAACTGTCAACATTCCATGAGATTGTCCCAAAAGGTTCAGAGGTAGGAAAATCATCTGTCCTTACATAGGTCTCATTTGTGTTATCTGGGAAGCGCTACCCTGACATTCACAGACCTTGTCAAACACACTGCAGATTGGAATACTTACCACCCCAACGGGGTTCAATCTGGGTTGATCTCTAGTTGGCAGTGCACCCCAGATGACAGAGACAGAATGTCTTTCACATTCATAGACCACTGGCTGGCGACACTGTCGCCAGTACCTATACCACTCTCATCATGTACACTTTTATCTTTTCCCTTTTTGCACTACAAAGACTTTCATGCTTGCAAATGGGCCACAACTCCAGCTTTATCATTTATACTTGCATAGCCCAAGCCCTCTTGCGAAACTAGTGCACCCCAGTGCACTCATGCTTGCTCGCTCTCTCCCTCCCTCTGTCTCTCTCTCTCTCTCCCTCCCCGTCTCTGTCTCTCTCCCCCCCAAGAATTATAAAACTGTGAAGTACAAGCTTAATTCTAGTTAAGAACTAAGGGGAAAATATTTCATAGAGAGTAGAAATGAGACTTTTTGTTTGATACAAGGTCTATGTAGCTCAAGCTGGCCTCAAACTCGGAGACCTTCCTGCCTTTTTTTTGGGGGGGGGAGGCGTTAAGGTAGTGAAGTTGAGACAGGGTATTTCTATGTAGTCCTGCCTGTCATGGAACTTGCTGTGTAGACCAGGCTGGCCTCAAACTCAGAGACCTTCCTGACTCTGCCTCCCAAGTGCTATGATTAACGGTATGTGCCACTATGCCTGGCTATATGGCAAACCTTTCATCTCAGCTGGGATTACAGGCATGTGCCTCCTACCTGGCCCAGCCTCCCTTACCTTTATATCCCCCCCCCCCCCCCCGCGCCATCAAAAAAGACAGCCAAGAATGTATCTCCTCAAATGAGTGTTGATTCTGAAGCAGTTTGCTGTAAGTCCTGGCCGTGGCACACTGCTTCTACTGTGCCACTGTGAGTTTTGAAACAGGTTAACAGACATCTAGAAGCAGATCTGCCAAATAAACTGAGCGGTACAGTCATGGACCCCAGCAGAGAACAGCAGAGCAATGCAGCTCAGCCATAAGGCATAGGGCACAGCCCCGAAGGGCATTTCAGGGCTGCCTGGAGAAACATCAGCATCGGCTCCAGCAGGCCAGCTCAGAACGACCACCCTTTATGTAAGTACAGGTTTGCAGCTTCAGGACAAATTAGCAAACAATCAAGAATGCTTTCTTGGCTGGAAAAATCTTTCTTACACACCTGATGAGCAAAGTGCTTCTGGAAAAAAGGCTTAGAGGAGTTTCCATCAGTCTCCTATCTGAGGAAGTCTTGGTGAGGATTGCATAAACATATAAAAGGCCTATACCGAATGCTGTGTTCTTCTATTTCTTCCTTTTTCAAGAAGTGGGAATAGAGGCACATTTTAAGGTGCCCCAGCACCTCAAGATTCCTCTTTGGGTCTTTTTTTCTAGGTTCAATAACTGGACCAGGAAATAGGAAATGAAGCTCTAAGAGCACAGACCCCCAAAGCAGCCAGAGTTCCAGTGAATCCTGTGTTTCAAGTCAGAAAATGGACTGATTAACTGGAGGCTAAAAATGACCTGCTGGATGAAGAGCGTGGAGTCTGGCAGAACCTCTTTCACCCTGGAGGTTCTGCATGGTATCTAACCATGTAAGTCCAAAGGCACTTACAGCACCTGTGCACTAGTACAGGGTAAAGGCTTTTTCCTTTGACAGCAGAACTGGGCTTAGGCCTGACAAGCTTAAGGCACTTGACCCTGGGACCAGCTCTCTGGGTCTAGAGCATTTAGGTTCCCAGCCACACCCACAACCAGGCCCTTCTAACTTACCACCTAACTCACTGCCCCAGAATTCCTTTGCATGGCATAAAGTAGATGCCCAGCCCCATTATATCTGTTTTCAGCGAGTAGGATAAAACCCAGCAGAGCCCTTAAGTGTCCTTGAAGGGAAAAAACTGAGCTGATATAGTCAGAATGCTCTTGAGACCCTCATATAGAGGACAAACCCCCTGGGGCAGGGGGTTTGGTTGCAGGCAGTCTCAGTGCTGCTAGGCTCTTTTACAACTTACAATTCAAGTTGCTGAAGTTAGGCTCATTTCCTGGAAATCCTAGGTGCCTCTGAATTCCTGTTCACAGAATGTGTTGTGGACTTCAGACCTTAGCCTAATCTTGTGTTGGAAAACATGTCCCCTGTTGGAAAAATGCTATGTCTGGGTATCTTTACTCAGAGGACCTAAGTTATATTTATTTAGTTTTTTCTTGAAACAACTTAGGTTGGTCTTTAACTTGTAGCAATCCTCCTACTTTGGCTTCCTGCATACTGGGGTTACAAGTGTGCATAACCATGCTCAGACATATCTTGGCAGGCAGGAAAGAAGAAAGCATGGGGTGGAGAAGTGTTCATTTCACTTAGTCTATGGTGTTCTTCAGGACTCTCCTTTTTGCAACTATAGCCCCCCCACCAAGAGGCAATTATAGCTATTGTCAACTTTTCAAACTTCAATAATTCAAGACTGTTAAACCATAACTCAAGAGTTAGTTTCAAGTTTGTTTTGATAATTTCCCTTTACTCTGAGCAGAAGGTAGTCTGTTTATAGCTGGGGATGAATTTGGTAGGCCTAGCCAAGGCAGGTTTTTCTTTTCTTTTTTAACCTATCTCCTTCTTCTTTTTTTCTTTTCTTTCTTTTTCTTTTTCTTTTTCTTTTCTTTTCTTGTTTTTTTTTTTTTTTTTTTTTTTTTTTTTTTGAGATAGGGTCTCTCTACAGAACCCTGGCTGACTGTCCTGGAACTTCCTTTGTTCCAGGCTAGCCTTGAACTCACAGAGAGCTTCCTGCTTCTACCTCTTGAGTGCTGGGATTAAAGGTGTGTGCCACCACTCCCAGCAGGCAGGTTTTTCAACAGATAATTGAAGCTTGGCTCAGCGTCTTCTTCCTAGGTCTCCTACACAGTCTTCTACATAGTGCAAAGCAGTGGGGTATACGAACAGCTTGGGAAAGCCATCGAAGGGGAAGGAGATATGTTTCCAAATAGGCCTCAAAAACAACGTTCTCCTGTTTTATTGGCATCAGAATTACTCGGAGAACTTGGTAGGAAGGCAGGCTCCCAGAACCCCCACTTCCAAATTCCTGAGTGGTAGAGAAACAGTCATGTTGGGAGGGTGAGAAATGGATTCTACCCATGGCAAAAAGACAGGAGAAAGGAAAAGTGACAACTGGTCTAAGGGAAGATGGGTGAAAGAAAGCAGAAACATCAAGGAACCACAAAATAACAAATATGGCTCATGAAACGGCCTAGCAAATAACCCCATCAAGACAGCAGCACGTGGGCAAAGGCTTCAAAAGCCTTGATTCTCCCTGAAATCTCTGTCCCAAAATGCCAAGTTAGCCAACACTGTCATAAAATTCCAGAATGTTAGGTCAGACAAATGGGCCAATATACAGAAAAGAATGGCTGCTGGGAGGTAGGCCAGATGTGGTCCTGCAACACCCTTGTGGACACAGCAGCCTGGAGAGGGAGGACAAGGATCCCTGAAGATCAATAGACTGGTCCTATACCCCCAAACTAGAGGTAAGTTCCCTGGGTGAAATTGTGCCAAGTGCAGTAAATCCTGCCTGAATGCCTTCAACCCGGTCAGTGTCGGCTCTGGCGCTTTGCAAGCTCTTCCTGGATGCGCACCCTGAGGGCCTCTTGCATGGCTGGATCCAGAGGTGTATGTGCTGATATTTCCTCACTCACCCTTTTGGGATCATCATCCTACACAGAGGAAGAGTCAGGAAACTCAGAGCCGGTCTCTTTCAAGAAAGTGACCTGCCCTGTCCCTAGACAGCATTCTCATAGAATTCTTTGGCTTAAGGCCAAAGGAGTCCCTTGTAATAGTGGTTCTCAACTGAGGTCACAAGGTCTCTTTGTCCCCCCCCAACTAAGAATCACTGTGTGCTGAGAAAGTTGTACCTGATGACAATGCCCAGCAGTCCCATGTGGAAGACACATTTTCCCACTGGCCCTGAGATATACACTGGCTCAGAGACTGGCAGCAGTTTCCATCAGGGCCCAGGACCTTCAAGCTGCAGCTGTTTCCAGAAGGCATACCTGATACACAATAACTGATGTGACCTCTCCACTGTCCGCCTCATATTCTAAACAGAAGAGCTGGCGGCCAGGAGGCTCCAGCTCAGAGCTTCCACTACTGCTGCTTTCACCGGACTCCTCACAGTCTGGGTTGACTAGGTGGGCAGAGCCATCTGTAAGGGCAAACCACAATGAAAGGGAAAAGGGGATGCTGCTAAAACCAATACCCACAGAAATGATCAGAAAAAGAACACCAAGAAAGCTTCCAAGCTTCCAACAGACTCTGGGTATGTATGCATGTATGTGAACACAGTGTGTGTGTTTGGGGAACTGTCAGTCAGGATTTTAACTTCCCTTTCTAGCTCTCCTCTAGTACAGTTCTGTTACAAAGTAGGTACAAGATGCATATGCCTCCAGCAAATATCACTGGGAGCTGCTCAATGGATTGGCGGAACTCTGCCTGGGTTCAAATCCAGGCTCTGCCATTTACTAGCTCTGAGATGTTGAACAACTTATCATTCTACCTCTTTGGACAGTGAAACAGAAGTAACAGTTTTCAGCTCATGGTGTCCTATGGACTCAATGAGTTAGTAACATCACACAAACTTAGTGTCATGTGTTTGTTAAAGTGAGTTCATGGTCACAGGAAAACCGGGGAAAGGCCATTTACTGGGTTCACTTCATTGCATGTACTGGCTGTTTTTGTTTTTTTAAATCTCAGCTAGGTTTCCTCTCTTCCAGTGGCAGGAATCTTAAAACTCAGCATGGCAGACCACCACCGGTGGGTGGACAGTGATTCATGGCCGGGTCCCATGTACTTCAGTAACAGTGTTGCTTAACTGGGGTCACGAGCCCTGAAGCGGAGATCTGGGGGCGCTGAGGCAGTGGCTTCTTTAAGGGCTGAGACGAGAGGGGGCCCCTGACACGGAGAAGAGGGGGGCTTGCCCAGAGGGCGGAGCTTGCCCAGGGGGCGGGGCCGCGGGTGGGCCGCTGCTCACCTCGGTGGCGAGGCAGGTACACCTGCAGGTCTGGCTTGCGGGGCCGCGTGGGTGCGGGTGTGTGGCGCCTCCTCGCCTTCTCCTTGGCCGCCTGCTTCACCTTCTTGTCGTAGTCGTCCCTGCGGGGAGCCGAGCGGGAGTCAGGCGCTTGTCACCCGGCCGAATCGGGCCGGGCCGGGCCTGGGGCGGGGCGGTACCGAGCGATCTGGTTCCGGCGGATGTGATGTACGAAGCCGTGGCTCATGTCCAGACGCCCGCCGGGCTTGCAGCACAGCCCCGGGCCTGGATCCCGTGCCGCCTCCATCCAGATATTGGGCGCAGAGGTGCAGCAACCGCCACAACGGCCGCGGAACTGAAACCGCCAGCTGCGAAGCCCGACTTCCGGCTGCGGACCGCGACTTCCGGCTCCGTCGCCCGCCCTTCTTCCGGGTGCGTAGGCTCCAGTTGGAGTAGGCAAAGCGTTGATGCTTTCAGAACGATCTGGTCTAGTGGAGCGCTGTTAGGGCGGGAGTTTCGCTTTCTTTGTGGTATCACCAATACGAGAGAAGGATTTTATAGCTGATGTACCAGGGAATTAAAAAAAATGCGAGTCATCCACGAACACTGAAAACTATTTCTAGAGATGTTGGCTTTCTTTTCTAGCCTTTTAAAGTTAGTTCTTCAGTGTACAATACGATGAGCTTCATTGTGAGATCAAATATATATGTATGTGTGTATCTGTTTATTCGTATATTTAAGGGCAGATGCGGTTCATGAGAAAGTGAGATTTCGTCATCCCCATCACCTTTGCTCCCTCTTCTTTCCCTTTCAACCTCCAACTTACCTCTTCCAGTTCTTTCACACACACACAGCATTAAATCTAGGTTCTGCATATGGGGAAAACGTGCAATGTTTGCGATTCATCTTTCCAAATCTTACTGAATTCACTTAACATGATCTCTAGGTTCACCATTTCCCTGCAAATGACATAATTCCATTCTTTTTGGCAGAAGAAAAAAGAAAATGTTATATATGCCACTTGGTTGACTCTGATCCAACTGTGCCTAAATTTCCTTATTTTTGTGTGTGTTTGTGGTGTGCAGTGTATGTACGTGTATGTGTGTGTGTGTGTGTGTGTGTGTGTGTGTGTGTGTGTGGCCAGAGGATACCAGGTGCTCTGGTCTGTATTCTCTACTTGTTCTTTTGAGATAGGGTCTCTCATTGAGCCTGTGATTAAGCTGGCTGCCGTCAAGCCCATGGTCCTCTTGTCTCCACCTCCAAAGGGCTAGGATATAGACATGTACAGGCCATACCTACTGTAGACTCCCCCACCACACGCCAAGGCAGAGTTTGTCTTTGTAGCTCTGGCTGCCCTGGAACTCACTCTGTAGACCAGGTTGGCCTTGAACTCACAAAGACCCACCTGTCTATACCTCCCAAGTGCTGGGATTAAAGGCGTGCGCCACCCAGTTTACTTACTGTAGGCTTTGTACGTGGGTGTTGGGATTTGAATTCAGGTCCTCATGCTTGTACAGTAAGCATTCTCGCCATCTGAGCCATCTTCCCAGTTGCTTGCTTATTTTCAAGTGGACATACTAAGAACACCTGTCTCATATAGGTAATGAGGCAGACAAGTGCTCAGGTAGGTAAGTTTTCTCCACCCATACCCAGCCCCTATTCCAGCCACATTGGGGCTTCACTGTCCCGGCCCAGACCACTTGCTTAACTGTGCCCATGGGAGGAGCCAAGGCTTTTGAGGGTCTAATAATATTGAGCCATCTCTCCTTTCTTTCTTTCCTTCTGCTATGGAGCTCAGGATAGTCTCAGCCTAACTATGTAGCTTAGGCTGGCCTTAAACTTTGGGAATCTTTCTGCCTCAGCCTGAGTCTATATTTTTTTAAGTCCTTGTTTCAAAATGTGGAAATCAGGAACTCATTATTAGAACAGTGACAGACTAGTACTAGTACAACTGTGTGATGGAATATTGCAATGCAATGTAAAGGAATAGATTGTCTGTACGTCAGGTGTAAAAGAGGCCAAGTTAGAAAGTTAACACTGTATAACTCTCGAGTATAAAATTCTAGGAAATGCAGTCACCCAGTGGTTTGGGTGGGAATCCACAGGGGCACAAGGACATTTCTGGAGTGAGACAAGTTTCTTCTCTTGATTATGGCAATGGATTCACAAGTGTTCACACTTCAGAATTTAGCTAATTACACTCGTCAAATATGTGGTACTCTGTATGTCAATTATACCTCAATGGAACTGTTCAAATAGGCAGGGACTAAGGCATGCCTCAGTGGTAAAACTGAATTTGGAGTTTTATTAGCTAAACAGTAAGTGAGCCTTGGCAGAGTATTTGCAATTTTCTAATTTCAGGATCCCTCTAAATATGGTACTAATTGAAGTTCCCAGGTACAAACCTGAATGGAGGAGATAAATTTGGGAATACTGACTCTCTTTTCTGTGTAGGTCATCAGCTCTGGATCAGAGGACTTCTCTGGATTGTCGTTTCGAGACACAAACTGTGTCGAATGCCAGCTTCCTTTCTTCTACAATCACTGTAGCCTGTGAAAGGTTCCTATCTCTTTAATCTGTGAAGAGATGATGGATAAAGAATTGTCTCAACTGGGCAAGTAGTGCCCATTAGGGTCCAGCCGTCTGTATTGTCCCTCTCAGCGACTCGTAGGGAGCTGCGCGTCAGAGGCCAGCTCGGTTCCTGATTGGCCGCGTGCCTCCAGCGTGCGCGGCGCCAGCGCGGAAGCTCCTAGCCGGTGGCGGCGATGTCTAGCCGGTCTAAGCGGCAGTCTCATGGTTCCACCCGCGGGAAGCGCGAGTCCGAGTCGCGGGGTAGCTCGGGTCGCATCAAGAAGGAGCGAGACCGCGAGCGGGAGCCGGAGGCGGCGAGCTCTCGGGGCAGTCCGGTCCGCGTGAAGCGGGAAGCCGAGCCGACTGCGCGAGAGGTCCCGGCGCCTGCGCCCCCGGCCGTGAGGGTGAAGCGGGAGCGCGAGGCCGACGAGGACTCGGAGCCCGAGCGGGAGGTGCGAGGTGCGCGGGGCCGGGCCGGGTGCGCCCTCCACCCTCGCCTGCTTTCTTCTTTTCTCCCTTTTCTTTCTTTTTTTGAGACAGGGTCTCAGGAACTTGCTGTTGTAGCCAGAGATAACCTTCCTCTCGCCTTCACCTCCTGCCAGTTTTCGCCTGCTTTTTACTTTCCCTTGCTTCTTACGCTTCCCTGTCCAAGGTTGAATCCAGACTGGACTGTCTTCAGGTGAAGACAGTTCTAATATTAACCGTTGTCACGATACATCACGGCTCCCCTTTGTCGAATAGCCCACGTGAGTTAGGTGCTCTGCTGATAGCGTTACAGGTATTCCCCTCTACAGTTTTTGCAAAATTCCTAAGATGCAGGGTCCTGTTGTAATATCTGGAATAAGCTCGTTCAGCCGGGATCTCTCTGCACCCGATTAAAGTACTGACTATTAGTTCAGTAGTTTGGAGACAATTCTGCTTCTCCTGGGTTTTGCAGGAGGTTGTTGTAGGGGTTCTGTATTGTTTTGTCAAGGATGTTGATATAGTGACTACCCTTGGGAGACAGATTGTATTATTATTCCATAATAGAGCTAAAGGGACGTAAACTCACAAGCAGATAGGATACCCTTCTTTAAGGGCAGGGTTTTTTAATAAGGCAACCCAGTTTGAGCACTGGCTCTTTCTATTCTCTTGTGTGACTTGAATCCAGGAACTGGTGAAGATGTCATGTCATTGGCTATTGTTATTGCTTTAATAGACTCTTGGTTTTAGTCAGTGATATCACATGCCTTCCATCAGTGATCATGAAGCTGTGGCAAGCTAACAAATCAGCTTGCTAGTAGGATTAACTCTCAGAACCATCACAATTCTTAGACAAATGGTAGATTTAAGATGTTCAACTTATCTTAATACTTGTGATATATTGGGTTATGTTTTGTTTTTGTTTGTTTTGAGACAGGGTTTCTTTGTGTAGCCTTGGCTGTCCTGGAACTAGCTTGTAGACCAGGCTGGCCTCTGGACTCACAGAGATCACCTGCCTTTGCCTCCTGAGTGCTGGCATTAAAGGCATGAGCCACCACTACCCAGCACCTCATTAGATATTTATTTAAAGATTTATTTATTTATTTATTTATCATGTATACAGTACATGCCAGAAGAGGACACCAGATCACATTACAGATGGCTGTGAGCCACCAATGTGGTTGCTGGGAATTGAACTCAGAACCTCTGGAAGAACAGTCAGTGCTCTTAACCCCTGAACCATATCTTCAGCCCCTATTTATTTATTTATTTATTTATTTATTTATTTATAGGGTCTATTTGCTTTGTTTTTCGACAAAGGGTTTCTCTGTGTAGCTTTGGAGCCTGTCCTGCAACTTCTCTGTAGACCATGCTGGCCTGGAACTCACAAAGATCTTGCCTGCCTTTGCCTCCTGAGTGCTGGGATTAAAGACGATAGAAGCTATACCGCCTGGCTATTTACAGGGTTTTAATAAGTAGTGTTGGCTGGCCTGGAACTTTCTCTGTAGATCTTGAACTCACAGATTTCTCCTGTCTTTCCCTCTCAAGGGCTAGGATTAGTAGTGTGTGCACCACCACACATGGTGAAAAAAAAAAGGTGTAGTACATTTATTTATATATACGTGTGCATGTACTATGGTGTACATGTGGAGGTTACAGGGCAATTTGTGGGAGTCAGTTCTTCTCTCTTGCTCCCATGCACTCTAGTAATTAGATTTGGTGGCAAATACCTTTACTAAGCAGTCTTCACTTGCTTAGATTATGTAATATGTGAATTAATCTCTTGTTGGTTATGTGTGTAATAGATCTAATCTCAGTTTGCAGTTTTTTTGGAATGTTGTCACTACAAGAAAATTAAAAGCTCATCTTAATCTTAGTTGATCAGATTTTCCCATTTCCATGGGAAATATCCATGGGAAATAGCAACAAACAAAACAAAATGTACTTGTGATTTGAGTAGTCTGCTGTCCTCCATTTATGATGCTGTGTAAGAGCAAATCCTGCCCTTACTAATTAAGTGCTCTATCACTGAGTTACATCCCAGCACAAGTTTTCCATTTTAAAGTCTGTGATGGATTTCTTCTCAGCAAAGAATGGCCGAGTGGATTCTGAGGACCGGAGGAGTCGTCACTGCCCATACCTGGATACCATTAACAGGTCAGTGATACAGAGAGGATGAGGAAAAGTCTTGGGAACATATCTCAGCAGTGGAGTACTTAGCCTGACATGTCAGAGATCCAAGGTTTAATTCCCATTACCATACAAACAAATCAGTAGATTTGAGATACAGAATATGGTAAAAATGT